ACAGAGAGAGAGAGAGAGAGAGAGAGAGAGAGAGAGAGAGCACCGCGCAAAAGTTAGACGGCCTGGCAAAGTGGAATTAACCTCCCACGCATCAGACGTTTCCCTGAATCACAGCCCTTTCGCAGACAGAATGACAATCCTTCACGCGTACGACAAGAAGCGTCGTACAAAGCGGCTCGATGATCTCGAAACGTCATGATCCGTGCTTACCCTTCCCTCGTACTCGTTCGATCGTATTCCGTTTTTCTCCTTTGTCGCTCACACCCTCCGTTCCTTCCCCAGTCGTGCGCGAATACTCATTGTACCACCCTCTATTCCGTCTCCTCCCTCTCTCCCTTCGTCACTTTCTCTTTCTTTCTTCCGCCGCTTGGAGTGCGGGTCACGCGCACTCCCGAGGGCGGCATAAACCCTCGGACAAATTGCTACGTGTGTTTACGCTAAATCGCTTAAGAGGCAGCGCCGAAGGCGAAAGCGCGCGACAGCGAGAGTGAAGGCCATCGAGGTAAGTCAAGCTTCGACGACCCGGCTCGCTCTGTTCGTTGTGTACTCGCGTTTATCTGGATTAAAACGACCCGGAGGATGTTCCTTTCGAATCGCATCGAACACCCTCCGTTCGCGCACTTTCACGTACGTTGCGCGCTCGCTAATCCAACGCGCGAAGCTGGCATTAATCGCGAGGAGCAACGGAGCGTGATTCGGTGGAGATTGTTCCAAGTTGTTCTATGGGAGAGTACCGTAATGGTTCGCGGAGGGTTGAGAGCGAAGTTACGCGACACGGAATGTTAATCGTGCAGCCCCTTGATGGAGATAATTCATTGGGTATTTAGTGAGTGTGCAGTAGAGATTAACTGATGTCACCATGTGAATAAAATAAGATCAATATTTATCCGTCCTTCTCGAACATCCTCCCAAGGATTAACAAGTGTCTAGATTTGTAAAATATGTAATGTAATTTCTTGTAATTTCATTATGCAATTGAGTTTGAAAGTGAAAAATAGCCCGCGCTGAATTATGGCTTTTCAACGTAGCTGAATGCTCATTAAACGCTCTATTTCAATGGGAAATTCGTGGCAAAGTTCCTAAAACAATTTCGTAAAACGTCCGAGAAACAACGCGAAGCGTAACAGCGCGCGATAAATTCCTATCTCGTTTACAAATATACGGTGCAACATTCCTGTTCTCGAAATACAGTCCGAGATAAATTTTCGGAAATACGGTTCCGTTGTAATTTATCGAAATTGTTCCATTAAGTAAAAGCAGTGTGACTGTGAAGTCCATTAGTATAGTTTCTCGAGAACGTTTTGACGTTGATTCACACTACTTCTTAACACAAAGAATTCACCTGTATCGTATATTCAGTCAATATCACCTCAAGTCACAAGAATCCACGCAACGTACGTATATATCGATCTATTTTACTAGTACGTTCCACCAAAGTTGCAAAAATTTCTGCCACGATTTGAAAAATTCATGAAATCGATGCAATATTGATCCACCCTATCAATCGTATCTCCATGAGATTATAAAGGATCTATTTAAAAAACTTTCACAAGCTAGCCGATTTCTTCGAACTAACCGATACGTCCAACATTTCAATCCATGCTACCAACTGTGTTCCATTGAAAAACCGATTTACGATTCAAACAATTTCTACCAACTATCTTTGAACAATTCCATGGACGTTGAAGCAATCGCTGCATTTCGATTGCACGCTATCCATCGTTTTCGTCGAAATTACAGAACCGATTTTCCCCGTTGTAATTCGAAGAATCTTCATCGTCACCACTACGAAAGAGTCGACGTACCGAAACCGGTGAGTAACCGAAAACCGACACCCTCACGCGAACGATCACGGCGAAGCGTCGACAAAAGTTAATCCAGCGGACAAGACAGAATGGAAACAGATCCCCTGGACGCGATTTATTTACACCGAGGTGGGTATCGGTTTCTTAGACGCGTAACCAACCGATTCGGAAGCTAGTTTACCGTTACACGCGGTTCTCCTTCCGCTCGTGAAACACGTCGCGAGCATCGACAACGCCTCTAACCTCGTTCCCGTGGTTGGATCCGATTTCACGGTTCGAGCGGATCGTCGGTGATCGACCGTCGGAAATTCCATACGTTCCCGCGAGGATCCTCTTCGACGACGATCGACTGGTTCACCGACCGCCTCCGTGCAACCCGACCGTCCTCCTCCAATGATACTCGTTCGACCCTCCTCGCCTGGCCAGCTGCCGTACGAAACCGCGTCAATGTATGACCTTGCTACGTTGTTTGGTCGCTCAAGGGGGTGGAAAATTAGATTCTCGCAACGTGTCGAGTTTATCCGGCTAATTTTTCGATGCGATGGATTTTAGTTTACTCCTGTTCTTGGACAACACAACAACCATCGATTATCGATGATTCATTCGTCTTTTCAAAGACGAAATTCCATCTTGAAAGAAAATTATCTAATTTCAATCACTAAAATTTCCATGCCTACGTTCTATGTAACAAGTTGTAAAACCTTCTCAGTAGACACGTATACACAATCCTTCGAATCTCATCATCTTCGTTTCTCTTCAACGAGAATCTCCGTCTGATCCGGTCGCATTCTCCGTTGGAACTTTGCCCGAATTCGAGCAGTGCGACGATTCGGCTTTCAATTACTCGCGTCCACGGCCACCTCCTCCACCTCTGGGGGATGGTCCGTCGATGAGTAAGAAAATAACCGGTAAATAAAGAGGACGGAGCGGAAGTGGCCGGCGCACGGAAAAGAGCGAGCACGCGTCTGATCCGCCGACGGCGGAAGAAGGTTCGGCATTCGCGGAAGAAGGCGCAGCCTCCGGCGCGCGGCGTCCTCTCCGGAGCACACCACCACCTCCGCGTCTCCGGCAGTGGCAGCCGCGTCGCCACCACCACCCCCGACGACAAGGGGATGAAGAAGAGCGACGCTATCGAAGCGAGACGTGTATATATGTATATATATAGAGGTGCGCGCACGTCGGCAAGTTCAGTCGTCTACCGCGTGCCGAGCGGCGAGGATCGTGCGCTGCCAACCCTCCATATATTCCGAATTGCCCCCCTTCAGCCGGCCAGCAATTCTTCGTTCCGTTTGTCGATCGCGCGCACCACCCGTTGGATCTCTCGCAAGCCGGTCACGTGTCCCTCTCTCAGCCTATCTTTCTCGTGCTACACGCGGCACGCTCGAACGGAAGCGCAGCCGACCGTACCGCGCGCCGATTTGTCATGTAATTTGAAGCGGCCAGCAATTAACGCCGTTTTCTTTTTTTTTTTCTTTTTTCGTTTCTTCTTTTTCGTTTTTCCTTTTCCTTTTTCCTTTTTTTCCCCACCAGCGAGAGCAACAATTTTTCATTCCTCGTTCTTATTCGAATTTTTAATGGTAATAATCGTAGAGATGTGAAGAGCCAAAGAGAAAGACAGAGAGAGAGAGAGAGAGAGAGAGAGAGAGAAAGAGAGGGAAATATATGATAGTAAGATGGACAATGGGTGATCGAAGTTTCAATGAAGATTCATAAAGTTGGACGGATCTCGGATCGTGTGACTTGGGGATGATCGGAGCGTAAGGTGGTCGTATATGTTGCTTCGGTTTATCGGCGGTCGAGGGACATGGTTCAGTGAGATGTGAGCCGAGGATGGAACTAAAGATCAGCATACTGCTTTTGGCGCTTCTACGCCTCGCCTGCACCCTCGAGAGTAAGGATGATTTATTTCACTACGCGACTTGCGGGTTTGTAATAGAGTGCCAGAGCTCGCTTAGCAGCGGGGGCGATAAATTTTTGGATTCGCAAGACGTTTGCGAGTTCTTGGCAAACAGAGGATTCGAGCTCGAGGGCTCGAAGCTTGCCGCTTGAAAACATCGGATCAAACAACGGGATCCTCCTCCCCACATATATGTACGACAAATTTACTCTGACTGTTCAATTGTTACGGAGTTGCTGTTTGCTTGGTCGCGAACTTTTGGCGCGTTTGCGTTGCTGTTTCGCCGAAACTTTGCTTATCGCTATCGCGGCACGTCTTGATCCACTTGCAAATCGAAAACAGCAAAACTTTCCCCCGTTATCGACAGTTTACGCAGATATTTGTCCATTTTCCTTTCCCAAAAGAAAAAACAAAAAAAAAATGTTTTTCAATGGAAGAAAAGAGAAAATAACGCGAGCACGAACGATTCAGGATATTAATAAAAATTCCAGCGCATTTGCATCCGCTGTTTTAACAGGCGCGAAGATTAACACGTAACGAAAAACTGAACAGAATGCAAATGAACTGGCGCATTGATTCTCGCGTCCGCGACACCGGAGGCAATTAATCATATCCCGGAAAGAGGATCGCCAAAATACGCTGCCAGTGAATTAAATTCGCGAATGAGTATCGCACATCTCCCATACTAATCTCAATCTGTACAGAACGATTCTCCATTATTTTTTATCAGCAAATTAACATACATAAAATCTGAAGAATCGCTCTGGGTGTCTAGTTCACATCACATATATATACATTTTTTTCTTTTTTTAAATCGCGAACATTTTCAGCACTTTTTCACTCCAGTCTTTTCACCGTAATGCAATATTCTACTAGGAGGATGATTACAAGTTATTCAATTACTTGTAAAAGAGATTATAATTCAAGCACATTTGCAGACCGACCAGTTTCATCACGGACACAAAGTTAATTCTAGATATTAATAATAATCTCTTTACTCCGAATTTCTGACAAAAGAATTTGTTTAAAATCACGAAATTCCAAGCCATCCTCTACGCTGAATTCTTCCAAAAATATTTGGTCAGCGACGTGCGCGGCGAAACGGCAAGGATAGAGGGAGAAAAAAGAGCACTCGGTTGTATCTCTCATATTTCGCGGTGCGCGGTGTTAACAACTCGCGCGAAAACTTTTCACCGAGTCGCCTTCGAAGTGTCCTCGGACACGCGTCCAAACATCCCCCCGAGCGACAGAGATAAACTCGCGGGGCGAATTTACGCGTGCAACGTTGATATCCTACAAAGCCCCGGCTCGAGATCGTGACATGTTTTCCGGCGAGCGTGACAGCGGGGGTAATCGTCTCTCGGTTTACTGCTTCGAGTCAAACAAGAGTCGCGATCGCCTGCTCGTGCCGGGTAATAAAGTTCCTTGGCGCGTAACATAGTAAGCGTGTGCGTAACAAGTCGCGGGCGAAACGTACCGCGCCGGGGATAAAAGAGACAGAGCCGAGGAAACGGTTGGCTACGGCGAAAGACCAAGTGCGAAAGACTAAGAGATCCTAAAGCGAGTGGATCCCGCTGACTGATACACGACGTAAAATCCCGTACGCGTCGTTAAAGCGTCCCGAGCTTTGCCGTTTCCATCGCGCGACGTCTAAATTTACCGTGGCCTGCTCCAGATGGCAGAAACGTCCGATACGTTCGTAAACAGACGTCGTTCGGCTTGTTGAACGCAGCTCGCGATGATCGGCGAGCAGCGGATCTCTTGGCGAGCATGGCTCGTTTCACTCGCTGAATCAACCCCTTTGCGCTCTCTAACACGCGCGTGTTACTTGCTCGCGACGTCTGATCTTTATCGGCTGTTCGCGGCGCTAAACCATCAAAGGTCTGAAACAAGCGGTGAAATAGTAATAGCGGCGAATTTGCGCGAATGGAATTTAAGAATCCTCTCGTCGAGGGATACTCTTTACGAGAGGTTTTAATCTCGACCAGGATAAGAACATAGACTAGATAAGAATAGAATAATTAGGTTACGAAAGTGATACGAACACCAGTTGATTCGTAAATGATTTCACTTTTGACAATGAAAGTTACGCGAAATTGCTTCGCGGTCTTTACACTGGCGTTTACACCGCTACTCTCCTTCAACTTTCGCTTTTTCCCGTTTACGGCGAGCAAAGTTGAGGATGTCCATTATTTATTCATAATTCGTGGAAGGAAGTTTCCGTGACTTTCTACGATTGAATTAATTATTCAAATTCCACTTTCACCGTGCTGCTTCGTCCGATACGATCCGCGTAACGTTTAAAATCACCGAGACGAAGGATCTACGATACTTCGAATCTCGCCCTTTGCTTCCAGACACGAAGGAGGAGGAGGATGACGCGGAGGAGGACGACGAAGAAAATTATCCCGTGGACGATTACGACTACGGTGACTACGACACCGCGACCATAACCAGCGATATCGATCTTATCGTCGGTGGTTCGTTGCCGATCTTCCTGGCGGAACCCGTCGACACGTTTGTGGTGAAGGGGAAACCGGCTACCCTTCATTGTCGCGCGGCACACGCTCTTCAGGTACGCAAAACCGGCTCACTCGCTTTTCCCGCAATCATCGAGACAGGCTATGTGAAATTTCGCAATCAATCGAGATAAATCGTTAGATTTTATGAATTTGAGCTCACACGAGGTTTCCAGAAATCAAGCTGATCAACTCTGATTCTCATTATTTCACAGCATACATACATACATACATACATACATACATACATACATACATACATACATACCGTGGCCAAGAAAAATTTCTTCCTCGCAAAGTCCACGTACGCTGTTGAAAGTCAAACGCCTTTCAGCGGAGTTTCAACAAACGTGAACTTCAAAGAACTCCACCCTCCGTACACGTGCTCCAATTTTCCCTTGGAAATTGAAAATTACAGTGGTTCGCCGAGTAATAACCGCCGCAACGAAACAACCTTCCAAGGCCTGCACTTTCACAGCTTTCTGCTCCGCGAAACAATACAGCTGGCGAGATAGAGCGCCGAAGAGGCGTAACAACGGGCCAAGTAGTCGTCGCTCCTGCACCGGGAGAGCTTTTTCGAGTTCGCATGTTTCGCACGTTGTTCGCGAAACAGACCAACTAGTCCAAGCCTCGTCGTCTCGTCATTTTCCTCTTCGCCTCTTCGTTCCTATTAACCACTCGAGAAAAGCCTACTGCACGCGGACAGACCTGCAACTTGCTCCCTGGCCCTTTTCACGCGCCGTCAGCTACCATGTTCAGCAACTTTATTCCGACCGCGCTGCATTGCAGGTGTATTTTCGTTGTAACGGCGACCGGGCCGAGCGGTCGCAGCACCAGGATTTCGTCGACCCTCGCACCGGAACAAGGGTCGTGGAGGTCGAGTTGAACGTGACGAGGAACGAGGTCGAGGAGTACTTCGGTAGGGAGAGGTTCAAGTGCGAATGCGTGGCATGGTCGGGACCAGGTCAGATTCGAGGGCAGCCAGCCACGGTTGAGGTCGCCTGTAAGTAGAGGACACTCCAATCTATCGGTTCGGTTCCCCTTCTCTTTTCCTCTTTCAATTTTCCTTCTGTCATTCAGCCTTTGATCACCGCCTCTCCTCCTTCGTCTACGTTTATGCTTGATCCTCGGAAGTCTTCCTCTTTCTAGAGGCTACGTTTCTCGCTTGTATAGACACGCGCGTATATGGCAGACACTGAATACGTAATTCGCGAGGGTCGTAACACATAAATAGGTGAGTCAATCCTGGAAATAATAAATTTATCTCACCCCAATCCGACCGTTTCCTCGACTTTCCCCATGGTAGTTCTATTTATTCCGCTATAAATACACTGCGTGGCAGGGAGAAGTAGAATAGGTCTGACAGATCAGACGCCCTCCGATCAATCTGTCCAAATGAGTTATCTTCTTTCCAAGACGAGTCCCCCCCCCCCCCTCCCAGAAAAAAGATATCTTGCTTTACCAAATGAAAGTCTCGAAAATATATAGAATTTTAAAAAAAGCTATTGATACAGAACATCGCATATATGTAATTAAAACGAACGACTTAGTCGTCCAGTAATAGTCTCCGCGTAATTCCAGTCGAAAGCAATGAGAAACAAAAATGAAAGGTACAGAAATGAAAAAATGTAGGGATGACGAGGGTGAACGAAAGGAGGATGGGAACGCATTGACGCTCGATTATAGCGCGGGCTCAGATCGGACAGAGGAGCCGGCACCTGGAATCGGTCATAAAACGTAACTTCATTAACCCGATTAGTGCCGAGCCGACTCTCGAAACAGGGATTTTCGAGATACCCGCCGCGAAATTCACTCCCGTAAGCTCCACTGTCGGCGAGGGTTAGTCGATTGCGGTGCAGAGGGATGCCGCGTTCGCTTGTTTTCACCGGATACCTCGTGACGCGTAAACCGAGCCCAAAATCTAATCGATATTCTATTGCAAAGCAAACACCTGTGAATACACAATCGTTGCGCTGC